CCGGACTGGGTGTGTTCCTCTATTTGGTCCTACCAATATGGCCAAATTGCGAAAACAAAGTCGAACGACTTATATACAGCGAAAGGAGACTGCGATCCTACAAAATGCCACACCCTCTTGGTCTTCATATCTTCGATTGCAGTTGTTTATTGTTTAAATTTTTCATGCCCTCTCCATGGAAATTGAGTGGTAGGAGAATATTTACATTTCTACTTATCAGTTGGCCCAGTTCTTAATACTTATGCGTAACTCGTATGAACTCTTTAGTAAAACTTCCTCTATTTATATAAGTGAGTTGACCTCGTCTCAACTTGGTCTTGTTGTCAGGGCGACTTAGTAGAACGCACCAAGCTTGAGCTCGTCTGCCATAGTAGTTGTCATGATTCCCAACAGCAGACAGTGGACTTGATACATTCTCAAACGTTTCGCCGGCATTGTAGTCGGCATCATCAGTAAGTTTGGCTATTCGCTGCACTAAGCTACAAACGCGTCAGAGACAATTGAACTCAATTCCTCGACAAACGTTCGGCCGAAAACGGTTACATTATCAATCCTCTTTCTGTCCTGTACCATCTATCCACTCTTTACCCTCTTATTCCACTGCCGCCCTACCACAACCTCTAATTTGTTTACATTCCACTCGTCAAAATGTGTGCTCTTTTGTGGCAAATCTAGTATGGCCTCATCACACTTGCTATTTACCCCGACCCCTCTCTTTCGATCAGATGATCCGATTGGGGCCTCCAGTCCGGATCCTTTCATTGTCTCGTAGATCCGTTCCTATCTCTGGTCGCATGCGGCATCCCAAGTGGATTTTTAGTGCATTTTGGCCATAACGCCTAATTTCCGTGACGGTTTGTTTGTTCGTCTGCCCAGCTCCTTGAATGCCAGGCCCCCAAAGTTGTACTAGTTTATTCGAAATGGACATCACTCACTGACAACGTCTTCGCTTCCCCCCACTTTCTTCATCGCGATCCCTTTTCCTCCGATTAGCGGTAGATCCTTGATCCAGGCGTCTCCTTTTTGCTGATCTTGCTCTATTCTTGTTTTTAAACTTTTCCTAGTCGCACCGCCCTTTATCAATTAAAATGTTTCCATGGCACCCTACCCTAAGTATGACTATTCGTAAGTAAGATATAAAAATAAACAAAACTCGTGTATCTTCATTATTTTTTTTTACTTTATTAACATTTAATTAATATTTAATAATTAATGTGATGAATGAGCCTGTATATCACTGCACATTTTCTCAAATAAAAGCTTATACAATATTTCGCGGCGTCCCAGTTTGGGAATCACTGGCTTAGGCAGTAAGCAAAGTTATCGCTAACTCTACCTTCCTCTAATCTCTTGTCTCCCTAATGATGTCAATGGCATCCCTAATCTTCCGCTTCTTTGTGTCATCACCGTATGAGGCTCTTCTATCTGTTGTCTTCCAATTGATTTCGCGTACCGTCTATGCGATGTGTTCGGCCAGTTCTGATCTTTCGGTATCCATTTTCCTGCAAAGCCTTTGATTTTCCTTGATTCGGCTGCTAATTTTTTTCCCTGTTTCGCCAATATATTTCTGATTGCAGGCGCCGCATGATATACAGTAAACTCCTGAACAATCCAATTTGTCTACTCGTTTATGTTGCGTTGGTAGATTTGTGAAAAGTGTTGATTTCTCTTTCATGGCCACCTGAATATTCCATTTACTTACTA